AAGACTTATAAAACTTCTCACACCCTGGAGGATTTGAACCGTGAGTTTGTGAGATTTGCCGACGCTCAATGGAAAAATCAGGGGCAAACTTTATATTCTGATTTTATCACTTCAGCCAGAGGATTTTTTGAAATTGTTTTTTCACACTGTAGGAGTTTGTTCAATGACAAAAAATTAGTACAATACTTAAAAGAGAGTTCTTTTGATGCTGTGTTTCTGGATCCTTTTGATCTGTGTGGCTTAATCGTTGCCAAGTACTTTTCCCTCCCCTCTGTGGTCTTCACCAGGGGAATGTTTTGCGGTCATCTTGAGGAAGGTGCGCAGTGCCCGGCTCCTCTTTCTTATGTTCCCAGAATTCTCTTAGGGTTCTCCGATGCCATGACTTTCAAGGATAGAGTATGGAACCAAATCTTCCACTTGGGGGAGCATTTAGGTTGTTCCTATTTTTTTAAAACTGGGTTAGAAATTGCCTCTGAAATTCTCCAGACACCTGTCACAGCGTATGACCTGTACAGCCACACATCAATCTGGCTGTTGCGAACAGACTTTGTTTTGGACTATCCCAGGCCCGTGATGCCCAACATGATCTTCATCGGCGGCATCAACTGCAACCAGGGAAAGCCACTTCCTGAGGTGAGTTGTGTCTGTTTTAGCTCATGAGGAATTCTCTGTCTTTGGACATTAAAAAAAGAAAAAAGATTCCTTCCTTACCTGTAATTCGTCATTTAATTTGTTGGATTTGGAATTCCTTCTATTTTAACGAATTATTTTGTGCCAGTTCACTTAATTGTGGGTTAGCAGATAATATAAATCTGCCCCGTTGATGTGTATGTGTATACAATCGATATACTTGTATGTAATCTTTTGGCTGTATTGTTTGTAAATAGAAATGGGGTCTTTCTGTGTTGCCCAGGCTGGACTCAAATTCCTGGGCTCAAAGAATCCTCTTGCTTCAGCCTCTGGGCAGCTGAGATTACAGATTTTAGCTAACATGCCCCACTAGAAGGCTGGATATATATATATTTTTTTAATACAGGGTCTCATTCTTTTGGCCATAATGGAGTGCAGTGACATCATCATAGCTCACGGCAACCTCAAACCCCTGGGCTTAAGCAATCCTCCTGCCTGAACCTCCCAAGTCGGTAGGACTACAGGCCCGTGTCACCAAGCCCAGCTAATCTTT